ATGAATAAGTTGCAAACAAGAAGTCCTGATAAGGAGATTAACAGTAGTGGTCTTCTACCAAAACGATCAACGCCCAATGAAGAAATTGAACTGGCAACCTGTTATAATCATCTTATCTGAGTAGACTTCATAGTCTCTGTTTACTTACAAGGCTCACGAAAGAGATACCAGCATTGGCTAATGAAGCTGCCGTTGTAGTCAATCCAGTGTCTGATAGAATTTGAACAGCATATGCATTAATAACTGAATTGAAAAACATTTATGTATAAAATTATGAGAAAAACCTGCAATGCCACTGAAGGACATTCCGAAAGCTACTACAGCTCCAGTTAAGACTCGACCACGCAAACTTTTGTTCTTAAGAACATTGACAATTTTATAATTTTTTGATGATTCTTTTTGCTCTTCCTGAATGATACTTTGAGCCTTCATACCATTACCTTTCCTTACTTTGACTTCAGCTAAGAATATTTCTGCTTGATCATCATCACAGTTATGATAGTACTTGATAGAGTTTTTCGCAGCAACATATGCTCCAATCTTGGTCAAATGTCTTAACGTAATTTAGTTCGTGACAGATAGCTGTAACTTTCTTACCCTGCTGATTCCGGTAAAAAAGGAAGAAAGCAATAGAATACTATCATTATGATCAACTCGATAACATATATCAAGTACCTGAAACATTGATCGAAATATAGTTATGCTTTCAATAAACCGTGTACCAAAGAGATGAAGTTCCGAATATTTGAGGCATTGCTATGATAGATCCTACAACCGTGCCCAGTTGTACTGTACATCCAGTGATCATTCCAACTAATCCTCTACACTCACATGGACTGAAAAAATTCTGTTTTTGTAACATTACCATCCAACGACCTTTACCTGGCTTCTGATAAAAAGACAGCCGCTAAACTTAAGCTCAAACTAATTGAATATCCCATAGTAATTCGAGAAATTATGTACACAACAAACGATTTAACCTATTATCAACTCAGTTACTGTCATTTGTTATTGTTGATAACATACAAAAAAAGCAAGGCACGATAAAGCTGCTGATATTATACCAAGACCGATTGATATAAACAAACCCCGTTTACGACCAACATAATCAGCAACGAAGCTGATACTAAAGGAGCCCGCTAAAGCGCCTAGAAACATCACGGCCACAGTAAAACTCCAGATATTCTACATGGATGATATGATGGTTAAGCGATTACAATGATGATAATAATCTTACACTGAGACCATTACTTGACAGATGCATATGATGTCCCCATGTATCATTCAAGAAAGTGAGGAACGCTTTCTGAGCCGGATTTGTAATTGCTAACTGATATCCGAAATGAAATGAGCCACCCAGTGAAACTACAAGTGCTGCATATAGAATCCGCAAACTAGGCATGCGTTTCTGGCTCATACTGCAAACACGTTTTTTTCAATTGATTTTTGAAATAATCATTCTCTTCCAAGATCTCCAACTCGGTCATGAAACTGTCACCAAACAAAATAATTTAAAAACTTACGATGCCGGGTCGAACGAATATAAGCTTAGAGTATCCATTTCTAACTAGTAATCGAATTTCTTATTTTATCAAGTATCCTCAATAAATTTTTTCTTTTATAGACTTGCTCTGCAGCCCAATCTGATATCAGTTCTTGAGCACGCCCATTCACATAATCAAACTTCATATTTTAAATGATCTGTTTTCGCGTGAAGGTTATCACTTTTCAATCTCATAAAATGTGCAAATAGTTTATACGAAAAAAACAAGATGAAAAGGAAGTTATTTTCAAGAGTTTTTTGTGCTTAGTTCCTCTTATAGTTTATCGAAATAGTTGATTGACCATTAAACTGTACTCACCTTTTTCACACTGTATGAATATCCTTGTTAGAATTGAAGATCAATGGTGTAAATTGAAATTTCACAATTTGCAGTAGAATCTGTAATGAAAAAAAAATGCATTCCAGAGGACATTCAACAAAAGCAGATGGGCATCGTGTTGTTCTCGATGTCCTCAAAGTGATTTAAAAACAGAAAAAAATGTGTAATTGCTTTAGAAATACACTTTTCAACAAAAGCGATCTAGTATATTCAAAAGAAAAGCGAAACAGGTCGTCAATCATACTTTTCGTGATTTTTAAATCTCTGAAAATTCAAGAATGATGCTTCACCTTCTTTCCGTGCGTATGTGGTATTCTGAGGAAATTAGAGGCTTTAAACATGAGGCCAAAGGGCATTAGGAGATCGTTTCCTGCACTTGAATGATTACAATACGTCATGTGATTAGTGTTGATTCGGAAGGCGCCGGTTGGAACCTCTTTATCAACCAAATGATTAGTTCAAAAACTAAAAGGATATCCAAATCTTCTTATCGGTGGAAACATGGTGTTTGCGCTGAGCAAACGTCATATATTAACAAGAAAAGGTCTATGAATAGAAAGATTACAAACATGTTGATAAAAACATTATGTAAATGTAATAATTACAAAATGATAATCAAAATAATTGTAATAAATTAGATATGAAGTAAATCATTTAAGAATTTAATATATACAATAGATAGACGAAGAATTTCTATCTTAGATAACTTCTTTTCAGCTGGCAAAGTTGGCAGTAGAGATCTTAAATGAGTAAATGCATGGTTGAACGATTCGACACGTATTCTGAAATAATTCTTTCATTAACCTATGAAGAAATAGTGATCAAATAATAGAACTGACCGTTCACGGGTCGCATGCAGATTACGATATTTTGGTGTAGCTCTACGTCTTTTGCGTCTCTCAGCTTTAGAAAGCTTTCGATATTCTAATTCATCCATTTCAGAATAATCCATTTTATTATTGAAAAACACAATCAAGTGTTTATTCAGTCATGCATTTCTTATCTGATTATAAGCTCGTAATATCATAAAAATACTTATTTTTAAAAATGAATGATCAAATTTGAAAGCATTTTAATTGTTAATGATCAATGAAAATCAAATAGAAGAAACAAACTGCAGAAAGGGCATTTTTTCATAATTTTTGTGTTTCAAAATAATAATAACATCATCTGACGTTTGTAGCAAAAACAGAGAAACAAAACAATATTTTAATAATGAATGTCAAACATGATATTACAGTAGAAGAGATACAGTAGGTAAGAGAAAAAGATGGTGAGGGGGTGAGAGGCTGATTGTTAGATGGAACCACCATTCCATAAATCATTTCAATAAAGAGCTTATAAGATAACTGAGAATATTTAAGTTTTTATGACTACTCGTGTGATAATCAGCTGACAAGAAGACCGAAAAATGATTTCGACTAGCAACTTTGAACCAGCTCACATGTTTACGTAATGATCATGACTTTACATGTGGAACAAAAAAAAGAGAAATGAAAGAAAAAGCGTAAATGAGCTTTAAGGCAGCTAATCTATGAGATTTTGTTGAAAATGATGCTACATATAAGGGAATTAGCTTACATATATAGCATTTTTATAGACACTTTCTCATCTAATTCAATTAGCTTAGTAACCATATGGGCTATTGAGAATCTTCAAATTTCATTTTAATTTATACAATTTGTATAGAAAATGTAAATTAAATATAGCTGTTCTCGTTTCTATTTTCATTCCCTTCTTTCACCTCATTCTCATAAATAACAATTTGTGAAGATATGACCATAGACAATTGTATTTGAATGATAATCATTCAATGCTTTTTCTTATGTTTTCCTTAATGAAATTGAACAATATCAATTCAATATCTATAATCTATAATCTATTTTAGAATTATGAAATGTTCATCTTCTTCAACTGTACAATAGAATAATGAGATTCAAATCTATGTATGTCATTAATCTATTTGACTCATCTAACAACAAGATTCATAATGATTTTCAATTCCACTCATTGTCCTACTTGACATTCACACGAATCAACTCATTACAACAGATCGCTTTTTGATTTTAAATTTAAAAAATGAGAAAAATTATTGAAAATACTCATTTGTTACTCACTTTCATGTTATTACTAATGATGGTATGTGGTACTCTATCATCAGATGATTCCTTTTTTTATTAAAGACCTGTCTGGAAGCAAAAAATGATGAGAGTCAATATAATTTGGAAAACAACCCCTTTCTTGAGTGTGGAGAGAATAGTTTTGAAGTAAGATGTTTGTTTTCTTGCAATCAGTCTTCATTCGATCATTCACAGATTTCTTTGAATATTGGTGACATTTTTGATGGCATTATTTTCGTTCACGGTCATTTGAACGATCCTAAATGTCACAGTCGATCAAAATCTCAAAAGAAAGTTAATGATAGCACAGTACGCTTCTTTTTTGATAACTGCGGTATTTCTAATAATACAATCGTAAGTTAATACTCATGCAGCTTGTTTTTGTTTTCATTTTTAACATTCAAGTTGAAACATAATGGAGTTCTAGTGCAAACAAAAATCATTGTTGCCCACAATAAGGATTTTCTTACCAAACATGATAAGGTGTTCATTCTACAATGTTTCTATAAAGAAAGCACTCGCTATCTACAACGTGAAATCAAAGTCAAGTATGTTCAATATGTCAATAAAATAGAATTCGCAACTATACCTCAGCAGAAGAGATAGTAACATACTTTCAGTATGAAACCAGCAGTGTTACAAACTAAGATGGTGGATATGCCCACATGCAAGTATGAAGTCTTAGATGGATCTCCGTTCGGACCACCAGTCTACTACGCTAAAGTTGGACAACCTGTAAGCAGAAATCTTTATGAGAAAAAAAACTTGGATAAGTATATTTTGAGGTCTATCATAAATGGTCATGTGAGTCAGCTGTTAACAATACATATTGCATGAGAGTTCATTCGTGTTATGCTGAAAACGGAAATCGAGAGAGAGTTCCTCTTCTGAATCAACAAGGGTTTGAGTGATTTAAAATTGTATTAGTATAGAAGAATACGTTCAAGATGTGCACTAGATAAGTACCTGCTCACTAATTTGGAATATCCTGACGACTTATTGGCGGGACGAGAAGCTCACGTATACAAATATGCCGATCAAGACCATATACTGTTCGATTGTCAGATAACTCTGACTATCAAATCTCTGTATGCTGAGTTCTGTGAGGTGACATTTTGTGAAATTTCCCAGAAGACCACGAAAATGAGATAGCGAATAAATATATCATTTTGTAGATTCCAACTTGCCCAGATCCACCAAGGAGGAAAAGAGATCAAACCATTGGTTTACAACAAATTTCCATAGGTTGGCAGGAGCGAAAATCAGAAAATATTATGTGTTTAAGAGAGAAATGAAAAGGACAAAATCGATAATCAGACAGCCACATACATAGATGAAAACAACACAGAACTAGAGGTTGACAATACTTCGACAAACAATTTTATTTGAAATTCTATTTTAGAACAATATATGCTTTCGTCATTCAGAATTAGTCATGGTCATATCAACCAGCTGTTTCTTGGTGCTGATGGCCATGGGTCTTACTATACACACATTCTATTAATGCTGATTATCATGATATATAATATGATACCTCCAAACACTCAATAAACCCTTACTGAGACTCATTTTGAAGATAAACTTGCGTTCCATCAAAAATCGTTTTATACGCAATGACCTATTGATCACAGCGTT